GATCCGAGAGGTCAAAGCCAAGGTCACAGAGCTGGAGATTTTTATGAGTGAACGCATATCTCTATGAGTCCATGTGTGTCCACAGGGCTGATTAGGAATGTATGAAGTCTGTGTGTAAGATTCACACCATTTCTAGGAACGTCCACAACCTGTCCATCTTATCCTCTCACTGACCATAGAAGTTTTACTCTAAGAACGTGTTATGCATATTCTGGTATTTTTGTAAAGCATATTCTGTCTATTGAAAATATTCGCTACTCTAAAGCATGAAAAGGTTAGCTGAGACTCCCATTCACAGTAGTTGAAAATCAAGATGGCATCCTGGTCTCTGAGGACACCTCTGTCACCTTCAAGCCCGTTTTAAACGCTTGTGTCAACAATCAATAGATTTAGGTTATTATCTTTTCCTTTCCCACTTTCACATCCTGCCTCACATCCTTCCCTGCCCCCTTCCCTTTTGCCTTGTGGTGTCTTTGTGAATGAGGCTGATGGATGAGAAGGAGTGGTGTGTGAGTGTGTGTGTGTGTGTGTGTGTGTGTGTGTGTGTGTGTAAGAGAGAGAATGTGATTTGGGAGAAGGTTGTTACAGGGCAAGAGGACCGGGGTCAGCACCCAGCACACCTTAATATTTAATCAGACCGTTCCCAGCAACTCTACACCCTACAGAGAGAGGGATGAGAAAAAGAGAGGAAGACAGGAAGGATAAAGAGAACTTGCAAGGACATCAAAAAAAAAAAATCCACCTTTATTTAGTTGCAAACAGCGTCCAAATTTAACCTTTCTGCCAAAGGCAGCGGAATAGAGAAAATGTACAGGCCATGCTAATGCTGCCAACTGATTAAAACTGTAATCAATGCAGCTGAATTAATAAAATAATATCCTGATGAATACATCAAATCAATCACAGTTAATTGCAAATAGTAATATTTGCTAACCCTAAGCCTCCAAATAAAGCCAATTTAAAAGCATTACATTATTTTGGCATACAAGTAAAATCTGCAATAAATATTTCAGAGCCTTCATATTAAAAGAGACTTTATAATGAATATAAAGTGTATACACTCAATATATATTTATATTAATATAAAAAGGTACACAGCTGTCACTGGGGTGATACTCTATAAGTGTCACGATCTGGATTGGCAAGGAGCACAGAGCGAGAAACGAGGAGACGTGGAATACAACAACAGTCTTTAAGCCCAGGAATAACAGGAGAATAACACACAATCCAACAAGTAGACCCGACAAACCCTAACTGAATGGACTGGGGCTTTTAAACACAGGATAACGAGGGACTAAGGAGACACACCTGGAATCAAATTAACAATCAACATGAGGGGAGAAACTGGGTCACGGAGAAAAACACACACACACACAGGTCCATAATTCTGACAATAAGGTACAAAAGCTGAAAGTTAATAAGATGTACATGTACCTTTAAGGTGCTAATTTGCAAAGCTGTAACCATTTAAATTACTAAATGATTATTTAAGTGAAATAAGAAATTCTAGTCTAATTCAATTTAAGAAGTAATCCATTTAAACTATTTGCAAAGAATTTTTAATTTTAAAATATGCAGACACACTATTGTTATTTGTATGTCTAATATTTCAAAAACGCAAAACAGTCATCGCTGAATCACCAGAGTTTTGTTTTGACTGAATTCTTTGTGTGAGGCTGGGCAAGGCTTTGCTTTCCTCTGGTCAAAGGTCAGGAATTCTATTTTTTTATTATTATTATTATTATTATTGAAAGTGATCACTAGCTTCTACTGAGTTTGTCTATATTCATTATTCTTTCTTGCATAGTTGTGACAAATAAATCATTCTCAGAATAGACCCTTACCTTGGTTGCAAATGAAGTGAATACAAACAGATTTAGATGTACAAATGGCAATTCCTGGCCTCATATGGTTTGACTAGTGGTACATCACGCTGGGAAAAGATAGCACAAGACACTGAGAATTATTAGGGACTCAGTTAGACTGAGTGTATAGAGAGAAAAACAGAGGGAAAGAAACCGATAGGAGAGGACGGAACGAAGCGCAAGAAAATTAAAATGCCGTTCATCACTTCGAGTGAAGTCTCGTTTAGGTTTCTCAGAGAGGGAGAGAAGAACTGCGGCAAGTGCACTAGAAAAATCTCACCTTATATAACACATGCAGCAAATGAGATATGGCCATTTAGCGAAGCACATATTCAATGCATTTACATAGTGAACTATTCATAAATTAACAGTGTAGGATCTTGTATCTTGTGGCATTCTGTTAAAGACTGAAATGAGCTTAAATGCACCATAGTTGCTTTAGCAGTGAAACAAACACAATTTTGTGGTAGCTGACTTTGGCTTCTTGTGTGATCTGCAGCAGATGGCACAAGTGCAGTGGTTTTAGGGTGGAGGTGAGGGCAGGACAGGAGGGGCAGGAGGGCAGATGACCCTCTCAAGGGGAACTTCAGTCCCCACTTTAGCCAGCAAGAGTTCACAGTACTGTCATGCTGTCCACACATCAGCATTTACACAAGAGCAGGGAGGGACAGAGAGAAAGAGAGAGAAAAAACTGCTGAGCTTGCAGACTAGATGGAGTGGTGAAAATTTAACTAGCCTGATGAAAGCATAACTTTGCATGTCAAGTATTTTCAAAGAGAGAGAGAGAGAGAGAGATAAAGGAGGAGAGGTAAGAGATGTGTAAGCAGTAAAAATTGAGAAAGACTGGTGAAAGGAAAAGGACAGGAGAAAATGACGACACTACTATATGATGAAAGCAGAGTAAAGTTTAAAGTACTTCAGTTTTGACATGAACACAGTATGTGTACAGCCAGATGCATAGCCTTTCAAAGTATACTCCATTTAATAACCTGTGGAAACACAAGCACTCGACACATGGAAAATTTCATATTTGTCCAGTATCTGCACTATTTCTCTCCAGAAGTTATGAACGATAAGTGTTTTTTGTTCTTGTTTAAATTTCAGTTGCCAGAATCTCTTATTTTTGTTGCCATTTCCAGTAGATTGTTGTTCTTTTCTGCAGATAGAAAAAATTGTCTGCACACGTATAGTATGAAATAGGGCTGGGTGATTTTTCCGATTTTATCCATTAATTCGAATGTAATGTTTTGCCACGATTTTATTTTTTAGAAATCGAGGAATCACAATTTTATATAGAAATATTACCAAACGTTAGAATTAGACACTTTGATAATATGCCAATGATAAGAGTAAAGAGAAAAGAATTATCCAACCGCAAGAGATGCGAGGGCAACAGTCATACGTGTCCATGTTTACATAGAAAAAACAATGGAAAAGCAGCGCAATAAACCTGTAACTACTACTGTATGTCTGATATTTCATGTTTGCATCATGGTGACAGGCTGAAAGCTGCTGTTGTTATTAAAGAACATTTGTAGTTAATAATAGTCTACTGGTGTTGTACCTTCAGTCATTTTGAATTTGATTTACCTTGATTTTTGAGATTTTTTAAAGCATTTTCCTCATTATTTCTGAACATATATTATGTATAAGAAGTTTGTACAAGATGTAGTTATAGTTCATCCATATTTTCTGCAAAGATATTTAACAAGTGATTTAACATTTACATCATGTTGACAACTTCATGTGTGGTGCACTTGGAATAGAATAGAATTTTCTTTAACTAGAGGGTTAATAAAGAAAAAGTTACTTGAATCATGTTGTAGTTACATTTTCAAGTTGACTAGTTAAAAACTAATTGTAAAAATCGAGAATCGGTCAAACGTTCTGAAAAAAATCGAGATTTTAATTTTTTGACATATCGCGCAGCCCAAATATGAAATTACGTCACTTACACTTTAGGCTTGAAGTGGATGGTTGGAAAATTATTTTCCTGTTTGAAACAAGAGGTAGGAGGCCAAAGTTTCAGCAACTACGAAGAATGTTCCTCTAATCATCTCAAACTACCAGTAATAATACATCGCAGCCAAGAATGTAGGCAAAATTCTTCCCATAAACCCATGAAAGAACTGTAAAGTGTATGAGTCATATGATGTTGACAGTCTTAAAGGGATAGTTCACTCAAAAAAGATTTTAAAAAAATGTAAAATTATTTTTCCACCAAGGTCATTCCAAAATTATTTGATTTTGATCATAAAATGAGATATTTTGAAGAATATTTCTACCAGTTGAATGTTAGTACATCAAAAGATCAGGTTGCACCATGTTTGATTGTAAATAACACTAAACACTACTGGTTTTTGCTTTATTATGTTTCAATATATAGAAGCCAAAAGTTTAAATGAAATGTGTCTGTTATATCGAACTCATTCAAAGCTACTGTACCTTGAATGCAATGTAAGCTGCTTTTGGATAAAAGCATCTGCCTAATGTAAATATAAAATGACACCCCCTAGTCACTGTGCTTTCATTGTATGGGAAACATTCTGCAACATATCTCCTTTTGTGTTCCACGGAAGAAGGAAAAGATGAGAAAATTATGACAGAATTGTCATGTTTGCGTGAACTGTCCCTTTGAGCTGCACAAACGTCGAGTTGAAGAACTAATTGGTGAGTTGAAGGCTTGGCCGTCTGTCCTAAAAACATTCATTAACACATTCACTTGTCATTTCATGGCTCGAATGAAGCCAACTCTTGTTGAAGTCTCACTACGAACATATTTTGTTAATGCGCGTGAATAGCAGCATCTGTAAATGTCTCTGGTCCTGTTCAGTCTCGGAGTCTTGTTTGTGTTAGGCACAAGTGTTTTGAGACTCTTGACCACAGATTGCTCTTCCACAAGCATTTTAAAGAGTGTGGGAGCTGTTTACTCTACTGGCAAAGTGTTGATTGGCTGTACTCTATGTGCTCAGAGGAGAACAGCTGCTAAAATCAACCCAAATGACAGCTTTCTTCATCTATCTCGTTCCCTCTCTCACTGCCTTTTACACAGATTCGTTCAACAAATAACAGTCTGGAATTCAAAGCATCTTATACTCATCCCACCTTCTTCTTCTTCTCTGTCTCCATCTGTAGGAGCCGTACGAGCGTCTAGTATCTTCCCCATCCTCAGCGTCATCCTGCTCTTCATGGGTGGCCTGTGTATAGCTGCCAGCGAGTTCTACAAGTCCCGTCACAATATCATCCTCAGTGCAGGAATCCTCTTTGTGTCTGCAGGTGAGTCTATGGAAAGAATCAAGGATGAGATACAAAAGTCAATGTAAACATACACTTGTAAGACCCAGAATCTTTTCTTTGCATTCTGATTTGTTTTCATTTCTGAGCAGTATTTGACCATTTTAAAACTTTGTTGAGCCCCTGTACCGTCACTGATAAGCATCACACACACTCTTTAGAAATAAATTATGCAACATGCTCACATACTACTCCTACAACACCTGCACATCTCAAATATACCATTATTTCTCACAACACAGGTTTTTAGCATAATGCATAAAGCTCAATCAGGGCTCACCAGTTCAAGGACTTTTTTCTGTTTGCCCACTCATGCCAGCAAATTTCTACTTGCCTGCCTTTTAATAATCATTTTTATTCATTAAAACTTAAAGGTGCTGTATGTAAGTTTTTGACTCTACTAAAGCATAAAAATACCATAATATGTTTGCAGATATTTAAGAAACATGCTAAGTTAACATACTTGTTTATCTGAAAAACAATGCTACAGTCATTCTCCTTTGAAAATGTGCGTTCCGGGCCGGAATGTCGGTCTCTGTTTTGGTTTGTGAAACCCGCCCACTGCCAGTTTACCCAATTGTATTTTGGCACCCCGGGTTGCCAGTTGGCAGAAAACACATTGTATTTCATTTCATTCATCGTCAAGTGCGCTCGTTCCTGTTGTGTCGTCAATCTGGCAACATGTGTGTGTCAAGTCTGAGGAGGAGGGGCCGGGTGAAAAAAACCCTCTCCAATATTTTGAATTTGGACTGCAATACCTAGTTCAACCACTCGGTGTCAATCCTACATACAGCACCTTTAATATTATAAGCTAATTCATAATTTTACATCTACAATTTTAATACTTATCATGTTAAATGTATGCAATTTAGATTTGAACATATCCTAACATTCAAAAGTTCGGGTTTGGTAAGATTTTTAAAAATGTTTTTGAAAGAAGTCTGCATTTATTTGATCAAACAATTTAGTAAAAACAGTAATATTGTGAAACATCATTATTATTTGAAATAATTTTTGATTTGAATACATTTTAAAATGTAATTTATTCTTGTGATGGCAAAACTGAATTTTTAGCATCATTACTTCAGTGTCACATGATCACTGATATGCTGCTCATTTCTTATAAACTTTATATATTATTATAAAGTTGTGCTGCTTAATATTTTTGTAAAAACTAACATTTTTTTCAGGATACTTTGATGAATAAAGTTCAAAAGAATGGCATTCAAGATCAAGAATCTTTTGTAACAATTATAATGTCTTTACTTTCACTTTTGATAAACGTAATGCATCCTTGCCGAATTAAAGGATTCATTTATTTTAAAATAATCTTACAAACTACAAATGTTTTGAACACAAGTCTATATTAAATTATGAAAATTACAAAATAAATTTGACATTTTTCACCCATATAATTTATTTTCATCAAATGTTTAGTTTTCTTTAAAGATAAAGTTTGCATTAGTAGCTGGAAATTATAGTTACACAAAAACTCCAAGATGAGTTCATAAACATTGTCAGAAAATAATGGCATGCATGGAAAACCATTAATAATTAGTTTGTCATTTTCACCCCTGTCTTACTCATGCTGCCACAAATTATTTTCAACCTTAGCTTATTCAGTCAATGTTACCAAGGTCACAAGCTGACAATCAGAATTTGCAACTAAATGTAAAAGAAAACCTGATGTTTAAGTTTGGAAGACATACACATGATCAAACTGTGTAAGGTGTAGCGCTGACCCAATAGGGTAAGTGACAGTTCGGTTAGCTAACACAAAACTATCTCGCACAGGCCCTCAATACTGTTTAGCAGTGCAATTCAGTAAAACAAACATTTTCTGAAACCAACAGCTTTGGCCTTAATGCCCAGATCAGCACAGTATCACTTAGACAACAAAGTCTTGCGCTAGACTTTTTTCGAACAAACTGCCTCAGTGCTATACAGTAGACAGTTAGCAAGTAGATTTCTTTTTCTCTGACTCTCTTTGGTCCTGATCCTGTTGCTAGGCTTAGAGAGGCCGTTTGGGATTAAACTCTAAAAATACGGTGTCCCTGACACACTTTCCCAGTGATCCATCATGGTGGTTTCACTCTGTCACAGACAACTCCAGCTGAGTGTGACTGAAGTCAGCAGTGAGCCACAGATCATGCTCCTGTGAGGTCACCCACTCCAGTCTCTGTTATAAGCTCACTTCTTCACTCTGATCTCCTCGTTTACTTGCTCACTCTGACAAATTAAGGTACTCGGCGTTCAGTTTATGGCTAAGGGGTTAAGGATATTGTGAAACCGGCTGTTAACCCTACCATTTAGAGGACAGTTACACGTTATTTTGTAAGGCATAGAGATGACAGTAAGGTTCTGTCATCCTCAGCTACATCCAGGGTCTAAACTTAACTTTTTGCTAGTCAAAAGAGAAAATGTATCAGCTGTGAAACTGGGCTAATTTAAAAGGGGCTAATTTAAACCCTTTCATCCTTTGTTTCATCCACAGTGACGAGCAGGAATTATTTAACAGCAAAGATAAACTTCTGTTGATAAACCTACCACTGAGATTTAATCGGTTTACAACACACAATGGGTTTTAATGTTTTCTTAGAGGTAATAAGAGGTAAATAAGTGGTGTTGCATCAAAACTCACCGACATTAATTCAAATGTTTTAATTCAAAACATTTATTTAGTATGACTGATCTATTTTGAATGGGAAAACTACACCCTTTATGATAAAGTTTTTCTTGCAGGGATTTTTTTTTTTTAATATTTGTACTATAACTAGCTATGCTCAGGTAAATCGCATATACTATTTTTTAAAATATCTATAAAACATTTTATAGGATACGTTTTTATTCGTTTTTTGAATATTACTAGTTTTTAAGCTTGCACAATGCTTAATAACAAATGTTTATTTAGTGCATGTTTTCAAATGTTGAAAACACAAAAAGCTTATGTGTCATTGACCCGTATCACTGTACAGCACGCATTAACCTTAGTCTGGGACTTTATATTGTAGCAAAAGATATAAAAGCTGTCACTGTGGCGATACCATTTCAAGAGGTATTAATACAATATGTACCATTTAGGTACTTAGGTATATATATATATATATATATATATATATATATGTATATGTATATGTGTACTAATGTGTCCCTTTAAGGTACTAATATACACCCTTTAGGGGCAAATATGGTGAAAGGGTACCACCCCAGAGACAGCTTTTGTACCCTTTTTCTGAGAGTGTAGATTGTGAAAAAGCATTTTAGCCATGACTATGGGGTTAAAATATGTCCTCTCTTCCCCACAGGCCTCAGTAACATCATTGGCATGATCGTGTACATATCAGCCAATGCGGGGGATCCCTCAAAGAGCGACTCCAAGAAGAACAGCTATCGTGTACATATCAGCCAATGCGGGGGATCCTTCAAAGAGCGACTCCAAGAAGAACAGCTACTCGTATGGCTGGAGTTTCTACTTTGGTGCTTTGTCCTTTATCATGGCTGAAATGGTGGGCGTGCTGGCCGTGCACATGTTCATCGACCGGCACAGGGAGCTGCGGGCAGGCACGCGGGCCGCAGATTACCTGCAGGGCTCGGCTATCACGCGCATCCCCAGCTACCGCTACCGCTACCGGCGCCGCTCCCGCTCCTCATCCCGCTCCACAGACCCCTCGCACTCCCACAACGCCTCGCCGGTGGGCTTGAAGGGTTTCGGGGCTCTGCCCTCCACCGAGATCTCCATGTACACACTCACCCGCGGGGGCGACACCCTAAAGGGCAGCCACGGCACTCCCACCGCCACCTACAATTCGGAGAGGGACCACAACTTCCTGCAGGTCCACAACTGCATCCAGAAGGACTTGAAAGACTCATCCCACACTAACACAGCCAACCGACGCACCACCCCCGTATGAGGCACAACCTCCCCCCATATAGATCGCTAGGAGAGGGAGACGGGAGCAGGGCAGAGAGGGGGCGGAGGCCCGAAATATTACAGATAAAACTTCATGTATCAGGCGTTTTCATGATCTGGAGAAACCGGGAGGATTTTTACTTTTCAATCAAAGATTACACATGTATGCATGATTTTGCCATTGACAAAATGAGGCTGGTTTGAAATGGAGAGAGGCTATAAGAGATATGCAGAGGGGTTCTTTCGGCCCGTCACACGGGAGCTGTAGCTTGTGGCATTGATTTGACATGTTTTTGTTAAGGAAGCATTTCACCACCCATCGGTCTACATGGATCAGCAGCTACTGCTCCCTCATAAG